CGCACATGATGTACCAACTCAGATTCGCCCTGCGGAGTTACTCCCAGGAAACGAAGGAATCAAACCAGGAGTTACTCCGGAGATTACGGATTCCTCACGTGAAGGAGCAGCTGCAAAAGAGAATGACCCAGTTTATAAAGAGACAGCAGCACTCCGATCCCCAGCTTCTCCCACACTATAAGTTGCGTGCAGAGGCAGTTAGCCAGGCATTGGAAGGCCTCTCCACGGACTTCTCCTCGCACCATGTGGAGGATAGGCTTCTGACCTGCGGTGAATGTGGAGCATGTCTCTCTGGCACCGGAGCACTCCGTCGCCACCTGCAGAAGGCTCACCCAGATTCTCAGCAGTGCCTGAAAGGACCTAAATTTGATCCTATTTTGCACTCAATGCCAGGGTCAGCAACTTGCATCGCCTGTCGAGCAACATTCCGAACAGTGTTTTATCTGCGCAAACATGTCGAAGCATCTACCTGCCCTAGGGTAGAGCTTTTGCTTAGACAGCAGGAAGAGCTACCCTTAGAAGCACAGAACCGGATCTCACTCGTAGAAAGTCTACAGTCTGATGCCCAGGACAATCCAGAGGGCGCCGCTCGAAATCCAGCGTTCCATGATTACCTGATGGAACACTGCGCACTCTGTGGTCAGGTCCTCGTAGGCCAGAAAGGAGCCAAACAGCACTTAAACAAGCAGCATCCTGAGGTGATGGCCAAGCTGGAGAAAACTCTCCAACCAAGACTCAATCAATTTAAGGTCTTCTTCCACAAAGGAGATAGCTGTCGATACTGCAAACTTCGTGTGGATGCCCCGGGTAGACATGCTCAGCAGTGCGTTCCATTACTGCAGGTGCACGTACTGCAGCAGGTAGCGCGCCAGCAGCTCAGCAAGCAGCCCCGCGAATATACTCGAGCAAAGTCCACGGCATCGGCGAAGACAGTCACAAAGAAGCCTTCAGATTCAACGCCAGGAATTCCTCACCCCGTGTTTAGACTGGAAGGCTTTCTCCTGCTAGCCAATACTCGCAACCACTGCTATGCCAACTCAGGTCTGCAGTGTCTCCACTTTCTATCAGATCCTTCAGAGGCGACTTTTCAAGAGGCATCCCGGATCAGTCAGCTTGCGAGAATAACCCCTGAACACAGAGTCTTCTCGGAGCTCACCATGGGCTGGCTCTTTGACGGAGGCCAGCACGACTCCGCTGAGTTCCTGCAGCAAGTGTTTCGGAATCTCTCTGCATCAAGATTTGGAGAGCCTCAGTACCGGAAGGCGTGATAGTGGACGAAGAAGGGGGCTCTCCCATTCATCTTGCCACGGCGATCAAGACCAACCTACAGGACATGCTAGTGGTCGTCTCAGGAGCGCTCATGTGCTCTCATAGAAGCTGCACAGCAGGTGTGCTTAGCCTTGCCGAGATTCGCAGGTGAAGCTAAGGATCACACTCGCATCAGAATCCCACAGCAAGTCCAGATCCCTGTCTTCCTGGACCACACATCCCGAATTTCGTTCTGTACCTACACAGTAGAGGCAGTGATCATTCACCTAGGAATGGAGTCGACTAGTGGCCATTACCGTGCAGCTGTACGCACAGCAGATGCCTGGTATGTTGGTGATGACTCCCACCCCCCTAGTCCCTGTACCCTCGAAGATCCCCTGCTTCAAGAAAATAGCTACGTCATCTTCCTAGCTCGCAGCGCCGCCGTCTCTCACGAGCCCCAGGACGTAGCCAATCTCCCGAGTAATGTCTCTGTAAGAGCTCTTCCAGCGAGCATCGATGGATGAGAGCTCTGCCCCTAAACGGAGAGACGCAGGTCCGTCAGGTGGAGATTCTCCCCTGAAGCGACAGCGTGGTGGAGGTACTCCCCAGCAACGAGGCAGAAGACAATAGTGAGGGGTACACACATGGCAAGGGGAGAAAGTGGAGTTTCTCCCCCAGGGTTTTTAAACAGTAGGAGAGCATCAGGTGGAGCTCTTCCCCTCGTCTTGGTGGAGTTTCTCCCCCAATGAGGGATGTACAGCTGGTGGAGGTTCTCCCCAGGGGTTTTTAACAGCTCTGAGGAGTGCAGACTCTAAAACGTCCCATCACCTGCCAAGTGCATGCCTCTACTGAGCGTATCATTGCCTCACCGCCTCTTTTTCAACATAGAGCTTGTGGTTCGCACTGAGCCTTCACAGCGAGGCTAGAGTACTCTTTCGAGACAGCAGCTGAGTGCAAACTGATCTGCTGCCAATCAGCCAGTGATACATTGCAACCAAGCCGGTTAGCTTTCAAGCTAGTGCCGAAATCATAACGCCGCATAAGACTCTGAAGACACATTCGCTTCCCACTTCACAGCTTGCAGCCCTGAGGGGCGGAGCGTGTGCAAGTGCAGCGCTGAGGCACGGCTTGCCGTGAAGAGTGACCGCGCAAGTAGTAAGCAGGGCACTAGGTCGATCCCTCGCAAAGCGTGGACGATAAGTTTCACCACAGACAGTCCTCCCCCGCTGCGTGTGAATGAAATGCTGTTGTTGTCAGTTGCATGTCACATATGTGTCACCTTCTCCCATATCCTGTCCAGGTGTGTTGTTTTGCGCAGCGATGTACTGTTGCTGGTGCAGGCTACTCATTAGTTCTCTAACAACATTCTATGATGGTGGCATACCTAGCATACCTCTTTCGAAGCTTGCTTGTAACCCCAAAAGCAACAACCCCTTTAAGGAATTGCAAAAGAGCCACCATACCAAGTAAGCCAGCCAAAGGCGGCTGTCGGGTGCGAAAGGTAGGGGTTAGGGATGTTTAGCGAATTGCCAGGCCTGAACGCAACAAGCTTTTGGGGTGCGGGGTGCATCGTGCAGGGGTTTGCGGGCTTCAGGGTCTATAAGGCCTATAGGGTTTTTAAGACTTCTCAGCTGCTTTTTAATTTCCCGATTCCGAACCGGTGCTGAGTAGTTAAAGTGCGACATGTTGTTTCAAAACCCAGGGTAGCCAGAGCTAAGTATTGAAGTTCCCAGTCAACAACTGCAAGCTATACTCATTGAGCCTGATACCCCCCAAGTGGAAGCATCGCCCTGAATCATATTCGGAACCCCCCTCCCATGAGTTCTCCCTATAGTTCAAGTTACTGGGGCATTGAGGGAGCTTGCGCCCAAACCCTAAACCCCCAACCTTAAGCCCTGAACCCTAAACACTAATCCCTAAACCCTAAACCCTAATCCCTAAAAACCCTAGGCCCCAAAAAAAGCAGGTTCAGATCGGTTGCCTGGGAACTCCGGAAACTAGGACCCAGAGTAGGCCCTTATTCCCTTTTTTCGGGTTCAGGTTCCCTTATAAGCCCCTTTAAACCAAAAAGGGCATCCTTTTTATGCCTGGGTTACTCTTGGGTCTAGTACCCTCCCCCCTTGAACCACCCCCCCTTAAGGATCCTATAAAGCATGTTCAGATCGGTTGCCTGGGAACTCCGGAAAATCTTGCGCTTGGTGCTGCCGCCAGCTGTCCCCGAGGAGGGGGTTTCCGGAATCAGGGCTTGGAGTTGATGTTCAGGGTTGCTACTAGTTGCTTAAGAACCCTCTAAAAAATAGAAATAATAATCCCTATATTACTCCCATAAGGAATACATTTTTTATTTTTTTGTGGTTCTTAAGCAAATAGTAGGTTGGGTTTAGGGCTTAGGGTTCACCTAAACCCCCAAATACCCCGTAAGTACCACGAGTACCCGTTATTAAGGACCATAAGGGTTCTATCAAATACCCTTCAGTACTCCAAATACCCGCATTAAGGACCATACGGGTTCTATCAAAGGGTACCTGGCGGGTCGTCCAAATCCTCAACCCAAAGCCCATGTTGCTTTTTATCGCTTTCCCAGCCGACCTCCCAGGTCCGGATGCAAAAGGGTTTAGGGTTTGGGGTTTAGGGTTGGGGGTCTACAGGGTTTAGGGTTTAGGGTTTCGGTGTCAGTTCAAACTGCCAGATTTGCAAACAAACTGCCGCAAGGAGCTTAGGATCAAGAAGCGGTTGTTCTCAAAATAGTAGAGCGACCTGCTTCTGCATTGGCTCAAGAACATCAAGCTGAGCTGTATCGCTTGCCCCAGCTAGCTCGTGACCCGCCTTTGCGCCGGGGAGTTGATGCACTGCCAGCTTGCACCGTAGACACACCTAGTTTTGGGTAGGTTCTTATTGCCAACAATAACGATATGGAGTTTGTAGGGACATTACAAAAAGTAGAGTTTGTTAGGTTAAGGTATGGGACAGGTGCCATGAACATTAAGATCATGAAGACCTACCCCTCGAGTCGCAAGCCCAGATCCCTAAACCCTCCGATTGAAGCGCTAGAGATTGAGCCCGAGCCTCAAAGCCCTGAGTCCCATCACCCGAAGCATGATACCGGAACACCTTGTGTCATGCGAGCTGTGGTCGAAACAGCTTACCTGATCTTGATGAAGCCCTGTCATGGACATCTGTTGAAGTCCAGTGTGTGCCTGTTACAGGCCGTGAAAGAGCTGCTTGGAGAAAGTACGGCTGATGATGAAAATCCTGCATTACACATAATAAGGAATATGCCATAATTCTCGTAGTTTAGGATCCTGAAGGTAATGCGGGTTTATATCATCAACCGTACTTCCACAACATGGCTTGACCAGGCTGAATCCCGCAGTCGAGATCACACAAGCCGCTCATTGCTTCTGAGTGCCGGGTGGCCCAAGTGCAGTGCTGAGCCTTGTAGCTTTAGGCCCCGACGCCCGAAGCGCCAGCTGCTGCCACCTCGTGCAGTCTGTTTCAGTCCAGTATGGCGCATTGACAATTTCAACAGAGTTTCGGGGATATTGAACTGATGACGTAGGGGTTCCAGTACGATGCTAGTATCATGATGTTAGTGAAGGCTCCGACGTAAGTCTGTGCTGCGTGATGTTAATTACTGTACTTGCGCTGACCTGTGGTCAAGGAACCTTGACAGGGACAATGTCGAGGGGCTATTGAGCTCTAAATCTGCGCTGCTGTGAAGTGTGTGCCACCACGCTTTACCAAAGAGCATGGATGTTAATTATGAGTCGGACGATGAGCGCCAATTGACACGAGACGGGCATGGAAGGCTGCTAGATGATCTTGGCAGGGTTTGGCAGGAAGCTGTTTGGGATGATGATTTGAGGGCAATGAGTCCAAGCGACGTGTCAACTGTCTCGTTTCCACGGGCCGTGCATTTTCGTGTTGATGCACCACATGCTCCATGCACGACCCCCTTTCTGCCAGACCCTGTTGTGGCCGGCCCTCCGAGGACATACAGAACGGTAGAATGTCATATTCATATCTGTGGCTTCTTGAGGGCGATTCTTAGCAAGAGCGCCCCGCAACAGGCCCTTTGGGCTATTTGCCTCTACTTACCTGTCAAAGAGCGACGGGCGCTCAGCTGTTTGACCGCCAGCTTCAGGTCTGCTACCACTCGAGTTTGGAGCCATGATCTAGCTGCAAACGAGCAGACTCTGCTGAGAATTGTGCGACAAGACCAGCCTGAGTTTCTGTTTAGGGCCATCACAGATTATGGTGCCTGCGGGGCCTGCTTGGGAAGGGTGCTCCTACAGGCAACTGATAGTGGTAGGCTCTACCGTCGCCACCGTTGTTGCACACTCCTTGCCAGTATGGGTGCAGTGATTCGGCCTGAAGATGCTGTCAAGGTGACAGGAGGAGATGTCGGCTACCATGATGGCATTTATGTTCGGCGAGGCACACGCGCACATGTGGTCCGCTATGCAGGTCAGGATGGCGTCCTTCAGTTACAAGCTCCTGAGGCGAACGGTGTTGAGCTGTCTCACGCTTTTGAGGACACCGTGAGGCAATCTGCGAAAGCCTGGAAGGAGCACTATTGGTGTCATTTTGAAGATGGGGGCTACAAGCTAGCCCAGATTGCCTTTTCTTCCAGCCAAGTGCCGCCCCGCGACGGGTGGTTTGGAAAGCAGGTGCCCAGCGTGGTGCCTAGCATTCAGACGCAGCCAATCGAACCTGGAGACTTGCTGTATTCGGGAACGACAAGCAGCGGCCAGATCCTGTCACGTTCGCAAGTCGAGAAATCGTTGTACGTAAGTTACTTCAACCACCGCACTCTGCATCTGGATCGCATTCCATCGCTGCCCCCTCAGTGGCGCCCCCGAACAGGCAGGATTCCTGCACCGGAAGTTCCACTCTGAGTGTCAGTGCCAAGACGATGGCCCTCCTGGGGGATCCTATGCTTGCGATCTGCTCTTTTCGATGGGCTTCGAGTTTGGCACATGACAAAAAGTGGCAGTTTCTCGACTGAGACATCCTTGCCTGCTCCTACGTTTACCAAAGATCCCTAAGTGTAGTCTACGGTTGATGATATAAATCCTGCACTACCTTAATGACCCTAAACTATGGGCATTATGGTATATTCCTTATTATGGGTAATGCAGGAATTATATCATCAACCGCACGTTTACCAAAGATCCCTCAGTGTAGTCTATGTTGAGAAACCCCAGAGCCGCGGGAGCCGTTGCACGAAGCTTGGGATGAGGCGTCTTTCTAAGGAGAACGGGATTAAGGCTCCACAAGCAGTCAGAGGCCAATACTATAGCGGGGGTTCCCTATGATGAGCATGGTATGACAAAAACGCCGAAGCCCTATTAGAATCATGAAGACCCCTATGTTATTTGCTTCTTCGGGGTCTCTCCTGCCCTACCAAAACTTCCCAATACGAAAGTGTAAGCCTATTTGAGTCACAAGTTGTGTGAGCGTTTTACGGATACTGGGGCACCGTATTTCTGTTGTCAGCGGGATCCTTCCAGAATTTCGAGAGGAACTGCTTTTGTCTGAGCTAAAGACTCAACAAACTCTTTGCACAGACTGTTTCCGAGCAAGCCGACAAGCTGTCGTTCAAAGGTCTGGTGTCAGGATGTGGGCTGCATCAGGCATTGTCTTACGATGGCTGGAAGCGTCCCATATTATGCTTCCGCACATGCAAAACAATTAGCCCTGTCAAAAGCAGTCGACCAGTGAACAGTCGGGTGCCGTGGGCCTATCGCGGTTTCGGAGAGTAATACGGGGTCTTCATAATTTGAATAGAGTTCCTTTAAAGGCTTGTGTAAGGGTTACTACAATACAAGGGGCTAGTATCGCGGCATGAATTAGAAAAGGACTTTGCTGGTATAGGTATATTGTACCATAAGCAAAATACGAACCCCCAAATAGTAATTTAATTGCAAGCATTATATAGGCCCCTGCAGTATAGTAGCGCTTTCGAGGTTCGGGGCTGGAGAAGTGGAGAGCTCTTGAACCCGCCAGGTCGTTGCGCCGCGCCCTAGCACAATCATTATCACAGAAAATCAGGCTAAACTTTATTACTGTAAAGCCGAGACAAATCCGAAATCTGTGCCCCAAAACTGTGTGTATGGCAGAAAGTCAAGTTAAACCCTACCGTAAACCCCGAAACACAAATCACAGGGTTCCAGACGCTGAACCTGCAGGACGTCCTGGTCTTCTGCCGAGACCTCCAAGGTTCATTTCCCACACCTGGGGTCTTGCTTAACCCAGGGCTCCAGTTACCCAAAAACTGGTTTCGTTCAAGGAATATAATATAGAACTCCATAATAGGGACCTATCGTGAATAATATGGCTTTTTCATTATGGTAACTCAAAATTAAACTCCTTAACAAGGGACCAGTGATATGTCAATGTATTGACTGAATCCAAGAGCAGTTAATAGCGTGCGATTTAGGTAACTGGAGCCTTAGGGTAAGCCATGAACCCTGAAGCCCTAATATTGGAGTCTCTGGGAAACTAGGACCTAGAGTAGGCCCGTATTCCCTTTTTTGGGTTCAGGTTCCCTCATAATATTACTTAGAAGCTGCCCCCACCCTGTAATAGTGACTACAAGCATTATATTAGGGCCCTATTATATTCCTATTATACCACTATTACAGGGTGGGGGCCCCTTCTAAAGTATTACTAAACCCCTTGACCCAGCCCCGGGGCCGAGGTGCCCAGCCGTTAATTCGGTATTTGGTCTTGGGATGGTGCTACGGTTGATGGTATAAATCCTGCATTACCTTAATGACCCTAATCTATGGGAATATATTCCTAATTATGGGCAATGCAGGATTTATACCATCAGCCGTAGTAGGTTAGTGGCTGGCTTTCAGCTTCTTTCCTTCAGGGCTACCCGCGGCAGTCGCAATAGGCCTGGATGCAACAAGAAAGTTAGTACCGACCCTAAACCCTAAACCTGAACCCTAAACCCGGTACCGTGCAGAGTCTTTGCTTCTTAGGTACAAGCTCTAAAGTCCAAATCTTTAACGGAGGGAGTCGTCCTCAATGATGTTTGGCTACTGTGTCGAACTTCGGAGTGCCGCACACCAAAGGAGGGTTAACCCTAAAGCCTAAAGGGAATTGCAGGGTTCAGGCTTCTAGGGAGGCCTAGAGGACTTGATGCTCCTGGCTTTCAGGGCTCCTGTGGCTGCTAGGGTTTGGGCTTTCAATCTCCCAGGGACTTCAATATCCCTTAATTGCGGACTATGGGAGTTTCCGAAAATTAGGGGGTATCTTGTTTGGGCCCTTGTACTAAGGATCGTACTATTTAGGGTGCTATATTAGGGTCCCCTATTTTCGGAAACTCCCTGTTAGGGCTTGGGCTTTCAAACTTATTGCATGAGCATCTTCGGGTTGAAATTAACTGAATTCTTTAGGGTTTAGGGTTTCGGAAGGCGTCTTAGAGCAGGTAACCTTCAACCTTTTGGTGTATCATGATCACCATATATGCTGAAAGGATGATACTGGACAAGCAGGTTAAGCCGTCAAGCAAGAAGACCAAAAGAGTACATCGTTTACAGTCTTCAGGGACACCCTAAACCCTAAAGTAATTTCAAAACCCTAAACCCCAAAGCCTAAATTCTGAACCCTACCTTAACATACATATCAAAACCTACTTGTTTGTAGGGTCCCTATAAATTCCATATCAGGGGTTTATAACAAGAGCCTAAAAAATCCTAGGGTTCGTAGTTTAAGGTACCTAAAGTAAACCCAAAACCCTAAATTCTTGCTAGGTAGGAGGGGAAAACTTCCGAACCCTAGGCCCTACGCCCTTCCCAGAGACTCCAATATCCCGGAATTAAGGAATAGTCCGTAAATTATAGTAGGATCCCAATTATGATTTACCGTAATTATGTGATATTGGAGTCCCTGGATCTTCAACCCCTCAACCGTAAAGTAAGTCCAAAACCCTAAATCCTGAACCCTACCGCAGGCCCCCCTACGCCCTTTAAAGCCTTCAGGCTAAACTAAACCCTAAACCCAGGATGTCCGAAAACCCTGAAGTGAACCGTACATGCCCTACAGTAAGCCCTTTAAGGCTTTATGTAGTAGGATCCCTGTTATGATTCAAGGTATATTCCTTGATTAAGGGCTATTCGAACTATTGGAGTCTCTGGGTAGGCCCTTTAAAGCCTCCAGGTGAGGTGGCTAAGGCTACCGGCCTCGGGCTTTTCACCTTGGAGCTACTAAGCGCCGGCCTCAGAAATGGAGGAGTTGGAGGTTCGTTGTTCAGAAACCTGAAGTGTATAGGTGCCACAAGTAAGGAAACCCGAATATATAAGCTCCATATCTCCGCGAAGGTAATTTAGACCTAGCTCTGTTGTAGAAGAACCCGAAATCAACCCTCATTGCAGCCTTAGCAAACTCCATTGTCATGGAGATCTTCAGTATTATGGTTTTGCAGCTATGCAGCCCTGAGGGTGCAAGCGGCCTAGTTGTTCAGTTTCGGTTTGCGATGCTTCAAATGCAGGTTAGCTCGTAGTTCGGGAGTTATTGCTATCAAACCTTCAATCCTCATCAGCAGGAGGCAAGAATCCCGTAGGTACTTGGGTCCCAACGTAGTCGTCAGCAGCGTCATGCATGGCGAGAATAGGTCCGCTGGTGATGGGTGGGGGCATTTGTTATGGCTCTGCCGGAGTGCGGAGCATACGGTTGATGATATACATCCTGCATGACCTTAAGGACCCTAAACTATGGGAGTTATGTTACATTCCTTATTATGGGTAATAGTTGGGTAATGCGGGATTTATACCATCAGCCGTAGTTAGGGCACGATGTCTTCATTGTCCGCACTTTCTCACTCTTGCGCAGCGATTCCCTGGGCCACAAGCGCTGACCTGCAGGATGGCAAGGGGTTGGCCGCTTGCTTGCGACTACTTGGAGGTTCATGGGTAGTTATAAGTAGGTTAGAAGTAGGGTAACTATACGTATAACCCATATTAGGGGACTTATAACCCCAATTATATCTGCCCATGAACCTCCAAGCAGCCGGTATGCAGGACGGCGGCTTTTGTGACGAAGCATCCTCCTGAGACGCTTGAAGACTTCATTTTCTTGGAAGACGTTTTAGGGTTTAGAGTTTAGGGACAAGGGCAACTGGAAGGGCGCTCTTGGACGAGACCCCAGCTTTCAAGGATTCATAGATTGATCCTGCCAAGAACTAAAGCTGCTTGGGAGTCAGGGCTCACAGCTGTCGAGGCATCCCGCGTTCCTCAGAGAGCCCGAAACCCCCTAACTAAGGAATGCACCTTAGTAAGATGATTAGAGGCCTCATACTATGATTGCGCTATATTCTTTACTTAAAGGGTATTGGGCTCTCTGGGTCCAGCCGGGTACCGTATTTTTTTTGTCAATTTTTCTGGTTTTTTCTGTCTATTTTTTCTGGTTTTAGGTTGAACGCAAACGAAAGAAAAAAGGAGAGAAACGGAAGCCGGAAAGAAAGAAAGGAGCAAAGAAACAAACAAAGAAAGCAAGAAAGGAAGACACCGGGAGAGGAGAAAGAAAGAAAGGACGAAGGACAGAAAGACCGGAAGGAAGGAAAGAAGGACGACAGAAAGAAAGAAAGAAAGAAAGAAGACGGGAACAAAGGAAGAAAGCAAGAAAGCAACACACCAGAATGGGGAGAAAGAAAGAAAGGAAGGACAGAAGGACTGACATAAGCAAGGAAATAAGAACGCAGGAAAGACAGAGAGACAGAACAGAAGAAATGAATATCGAAAGACAGAAAGCCAGCAAGGACGACCAGAAGGAGTGTTAGAAAGAACGGAGCAAAGAAAGAACCCAAGAACGAAAGCAGGATAATTAGACAGCAAGAAGCAAAGACCAGAGACCCCACTGTTTCGAGCTGTGTGCAAGCTTGCTTGAC